GCAACATTCACCGAAGGAGGCGCGACCATGCCAAGCGGCAACAACCAAGCAACGCAGAGCAAAGCCCAAACCCACGGCCGAAAGGCAAGCAGCGTTCTCGCGCTTACTAACTGCAACCTTGCAACCCGGAGAGAAAAGGCACTGCCTTAAGCAGGGAGGACTAGGCACAAGGCAAGCCAAAGGTGGCAGAAGCGGCGTTCACGCTCTTACTAACCGCAACATTCACCAAAGGAGTCGCGATAATGCCAAGCAGCAGCAACCAAGCAACGACAGAGCTGGCTAGGGACTTCTCGTTGTGTTTTGTGTGGCATTTTGGTGGCAGAACCTTTATGCTGGAAGACAGTGCAAGTCATATTTCGGTTTTTTCGTGTTTCGTGCATTGCTTCTTTTAGGATGAAGCTGTTCTGTTTGTCATCTCAAAAGCAGTCGCCACGTTTGACGTTGTGTGTTGGGTTTAGCGGTTTTTGTGCGGATGGAAAAGCTTCCAGCAATTCCCAGTACTCAGCCTTCCGATCATTCAAGGCTCCACTAAACGGCCTGTGGACAGCTAAACTTCAGTTAGCAGACGCGTCGAGCTCACGAGGTCCAGGTTCAAGGTAAATCCCTTTTTGCTTCCAGCTCTTCAACTACGCTCTTGAGCTAGACACCTAATACTGCCAATGGCCATAAGCAAGAATCCCCTTTGGGCGGCATCCTCTACTAGGACCGCTGCAATCGCCACTTCGAGTTCCGCTGTGCAATGTTCAGCAGTGCACGGATTGTCGATTGGCGTGGCCCCTACCTCCAACTTGCAAACGGCGTTGATGACTAGATTCCCCTGAGATGGCATGTCGATAGGGGAACAAGCGCCGTGCCCAGCTCTCTCTGAAGCAGGACGCTGGCGCTTTCAAGGTTGTCACAACTGGGGTACCCTGCATCACGTTCGCCAAGCTGGGTATCTTCTCATCCGGCACGGCCAATCTGCCAAGGCTGCGCAAGCGGTATAGGCGAGTGAGCAACTTCTCGAATACCTACCTTTTTTCAGAAGCAGCGGGTCGATTGGCGCAAACTGCGTTTCATTAGTGGGTTGCTAGTTAGGATCCCCCGTGCGGATGACCAACACTGGGTCCGCGGCCTCCGTGACAGTCACTGACTCGGAGTGTCCCTCCTGCTGGCCTTCGTCAATGACTAGTGCGCTGCAGTCCACAAGGGAGGCAGTCTCAAGACAGGCCTGTGGGATGGTATCACACGGGACTTCCCAGCCTTCGTCATGCAGACTCCTGGAAGGCCTGGAGCGCAACTCTGGCACTCATCCCTCAGACTGTCACAGTGGCTGGCCCAGGAGATATTTTCGAAGGCCGCCACTTGGTCTCGGCCGCCTGCAGCCACAATTTTGCATGCCAGGAGCACCACCGCCCGCCTTCAGGCACTCGATTTTGTGATACGGGAGCGTCACCGATGTGTGCTCTGGACACGGTACCGGTCCGAGGAGCTCGAACCATTGCTGTATGAGCAGCTCGACATAGGCGTCATTGAGTTTTTCTCCTTTTCTGGTGTTGATGCGCAAAACGCCTATAAGGCGTTGCACTGGTTGGCCCACGTGAAAAGCAACCACCGAACCTTCAAGCGGATATTGTTTCTCCGTGTGGGAGAACCAAAGTGGGGCGCTGTCTCCATTCGAGTCTGCACGGAGCTGAACGACATAGCAGTCGCAGTGAGGGTAAACCCCTTGAATGATCTGCTTGCCCCTTCCAAGTCCTGTTTTGGGGCCTATCCGTGGGGCATCCCGCCGTGTTTCCTCCACCGAATCCGCTAGCGTGGCCCCCTTGCTGAAAAAGTGGAAATAAAGGAAGTCGACAACTCTCGCACGCGAGTGTCGCAGCAGCAGCCGTGCTACCGGCGTCGGGAGACTCTGGGGTACTCCTTCCGTCTCTGCAACATGGTAGAGCGCAACTGTTTCGAGAAGCCATTCCTTCAGTCGGAGCAGGGGGCCGCGCCCTGGCGGGGACTCAGCTGGAGCGCTTGCATGAGCTCAGTAGGAGCCACTGCAGCCAGAGAGCCTAAAAACTTCCCCATGGTTTCAGAGTTCGTGCTATTCAAGCATGTCGCAGTTCCCATTGAGCCCCCTGCGACGGATGC